GAGGATGGCCCAAGTGCTTGGGCCCTGTATCCCATGGGAGACCAGGATAAGTACCTGGCTCCTGCCATCAGATCAGGACGGTACGCTGGCCGTGGCGGCCATTGGAGGGTGAACCAACGGCAAAGGAAGACCTTTCTCTCTGTCTCTGCTGTTTCCAGGGAGTGCAGTGGAGGATGGCCCAGGTGCTTGGGCCCTGCACCCCATGGGAGACCAGGAAAAGCACCTGGCTCCTGGCTCCTGCCATCGGATCAGCGCAGTCCGCCGGCCGCGGCGGCCATTGGAGGGTGAACCAACGGCAAAGGAAGACCTTTCTCTCTGTCTCTCTCTCTCTCACTGTCCACTCTGCCTGTCAAAAAATAAAAAAAATAAAAAATAAAAAATAAATGGAATATAAATGGTTAAATTCTGACATAAAAATTGCTTACTTTTAACTTTCATTTTATTATAGACGGGGAAAGAGAGAGGGAGAAAAAGACAGAGAGAACATTCATATTTGTTGTTTCATTCCCTCAAGGCCTGTAATACCCTGGGTTGGGATAGAGATGTAGCTGGGAATTGGTAATATAATCCAGCCTGATCATGTAGATCGTAGAAACTTAATTATTTCAACTATCACCACTGTCTCTCATATTCTGCACTAGCAGGTACCTGGAGTCTGGAACCAGAGCTTGTAATCAAATCCAGGTTACTTTGTGAGTTTTAGGTGTCTTAACGAAATACCCACTTCCTGACATATTATTTAAAAATTTATTATTAAAAATATTTAGCTGTTATTTTGAAAGTTGATATTTGCATTACTGTTCACAGACAAAAATTTAGAATAATATCTCTTCTAGCAAGGTTTATATTTTCCTTATTATCCAGTTTTGGTAGCAAAAGTCTATTAGCTTCATAAGAATATTTTATTCACCTTTACTCCAGTTCTTGAAAAAAAGTTCTGGTATATCAGGCTTAAATCCTTTTATATATTTGTTAGGACTTAGATCAAAATCAGATATATCAAAAACAGATATATCTCTTCACTTATACGCATTATTTAACTTATTTAAAACATTAATGTGTGATTATTATATTTTACTTTATCTTGATGTAGTTTTTTATTAGTACCATTAATTTTAGCATATGTTTTCATCATATTTAAGATAATATTTCTCTTGTAATTTTAAATCCCAAGTATTAATAATTCTATATTTTATTAGATAAAATGAAGAATTTTTGAAGTCTTTCTTTGGAAAATATAGGAAGAAAATAGATTTGTTCAAAGGTTACTTAAAAGCTTGAAGAACCACTAGGGTGGCTGTGTGAGCAGGTTTGGTGGAACGCACGGAAATCACAGGCACACTCTGAACAGAGAGCTTGTTCTCTGAAGATGCTAGCTCTGATATTACGGAGCTGGAGACACAGCCATGCTGTGCGCAAAAGCTTCCTGTGTTCCCAAGAAGTTGTCTAGCACACTGCTGTCTTACTGCCTTTCAAACGCCGTATGAGTGCTACTGTTTTCCACTAAAACCACTACAAGGAAGGTTTTCTGTGGTTCATCTGTTTTCTCTGTATTTACTATTATAAGGCTATGTAAAGGATGCATCAGCTATAAGGCACTGAATCCATGGAGCACTCAGGTTCTTTTTTTAACTTTTATTTAATAAATATAAATTTTCCTAAGTACAGCTTATGGATTACAGTGGCTTTTCCCCCCAATAACTTCCCTCCCACCTGCAACCCTCCTATCTCCCACTCCCTCTCACATTCCATTCACATCAAGATTCATTTTCAATTATCTTTATATACAGAAGATCAATTTACTATATATTAAGTAAAGGTTTCAACAGTTTGCACCCACACAGAAACACGAAGTGTAAAGTACTGTTTGAGTACTAGTTATAGCATTAATTAACATTGTACAACATATTAAGGACAGAGATCCTACACAGGGAGTAAGTGCACAGTGACTCCTTTTGTTGACTTAACAAATTGACACTCTTGTTTATGGCGTCAGTAATCTCCCTAGGCTCTAGTCATGAGTTGCCAAGGGTATGGAAACCATTTGAGTTCGCTGACTTTGATCTTATTCAGACAAGGTCATAGTCAAAGTGGAAGTTCTCTCCTCCCTTCAGAGAAAGTTACCTCCTTCTTTGATGGCCCATTTTTTTTTTTTTTCCAGAGTGTCTTGGCTTTCCATGCCTGAAATACTCTCATGGGCTCTTCAGCCAGTTCCGAAGGCCTTAAGGGCTGATTCTGAGACCAGAAGCACTCAGGTTCTTAATGTGCAACTTCAATGAAGTATCACGTGTATCATTGAAGTTCCATCACTTGTTGATTTTGATCATTTGAATAATAGGAAATATTGCTCCAAGAAACACTAATCCTCTCACAAATAAATTGCAACCTCTAAAATTTAAAACTATATCAAGTATGTTGCACTTTTATAAAGCTCAAAAGCATATAAAACAATACAGATTTTTTGGAAAGATAAGTATATATGATAACAATATGAGTATAAAGGATAGTCCTTCAATATCATAGCTAGTAGCCACATGTAACTCTTGAATACTTAATATATGGCAAGTGTGGAAAAAGATATACTCTAATTACAAAATATACATCTGACACCAAATGCTTAGTATCGAATTTTTAAAGAACTAATGAGATAGACATGTACAAATGGCAAGTACCAGAACTGAGCAACAAATTCCTTATATGTTTATTTACTATTGGCATGTGCCTTTCAAATAAATATTTTGAGCTAAAAAAATTAAGAACTTACACGACTTTTACAAATGTATATGCAATGTAGTAGAAAACTAGCTTTAAAATTTACTAAAGTATAGTTAAATGTACTACATTTAACTGACTTAAATTTTGAAACATAATATTCTCAGAAATGTACTACCAGAGCACATATTATTTTACTATGGGTATTTTTCTGAAATCAAAATATATTAAATAGTATATTTTAAACAGTACATATTATTATAGATACCATGTAAATGAAGCACAAGATAGGAGTGACCCTGTGGTCCACTGAGATAATAGGCAGATGCTTTGTGTGTGGGCTTGTGGCTTATAAGATTGTTGGGAAGTCAAGATTTATAAAATGCTTGCTAATTAAATAACACAGCTCACTTATTTAAAAATGAAATTGAGATACTTCATTAATATTTTAAAACATTGAAATGATATTTTTATAATTAGGCTAGTATAATAGAATACATGGTCTTTAGAAAAATTATGTATTGTTAACCTCACTATATTTCTATTATATCTTGTTTCACACTGTTAGAAATAAAAAACAAGGAGTGATAATAATAAATTCCAGGTAGTTTGCTTTAGATGTAAAGAATAAAGCTATAGGATTACCACATGCAATTTGTTTCATTCAAGGTGCATCAAAATCTTACCAAGGACTCCACACCAAATTTAGAGTGAGAGTCCAGGATCTTGCCTATAGCTGTGAAGAACAGCATGCTTTTCCCTGCACACATCTCTAAATTAACTTCCTGTCACCAAGTCTAACTTGCTGCTTTCCCTCTTACTTTAGCTGTAATATGGAAAGCATATCTACCTGTCATAACCTTCGAATTTTATCTTCAGCTAAACTACTTTTCCTTCAGATATTCCCATGCCTTCCATATTTCATTTTGTTTCTATTTACATGTTAATTTTCTGGAAATGGCATCCTTTAGAATCCTATTGAAAATTGTAGTCTGTATTGCAATTTTGCTCTAAATAGTTCTTTTACTGTTCAATATTTCTCTCTCTTTATATGCTTATTGCCATTCTTCCTCATCATAACTTAAACTTGAGAAGATAGAGACAGTCTATTTTGTTCACTCCTAAATCAACTACTCTTGAAAAAGTAACTGGTGTATACATACATATATATATATGTATATGTATACATATATGCATATGTGTATATATATATATATATATAGAGAGAGAGAGAGAGAGAGAGAGAGAGTATTCGGTACATATTAAGTCTACTCCCAAAACTGAGTGTATTAAATAAAATAAATGATGAATAATTGAATGAGTTGCAATTAAGTAAAGCAGGGTGGAAAAATGCCTGAGCATAAAAATTAAATTTTATATGAATAATTCATTAACATATAGGATTATGTATCAAAAAATTTCACCAAATGTACCATTACTATCATAGTCATGTTATTCAGGAAATTTTTGTTATGCTGATTATCAATATATCCTTCTTCTATATTTAATATAGTCTATTAATTCAACAAATATGATATGATATAATTTTTAAATTAAGCTGTCTTTACAACTATTTTTAATTTATTTAAAAATTAGAGTGACAGAGGGCGGAAGAGGGATCTTCCACCTGCTGATTCACTCCCCCAATGGTTGCAATGACTAGGGCTGAGTCAGACTCAAGGCAGAACTCCAGTCAGGTCTCCTACACGAGTGGCAAGGACCCAAGTAATTGGGCCATCTTCTGTTACTTTACCACGCAAGTCATTTTAGTGGGGATCTGGATCCAAAGAGGAACGTCCAGGACTCAAGCAGGCACTCTGATATGAGATGCCCCCATTGCTAGCAGTGGTTTAACCTGCTGTGCCAAAATGCTGGCTCCAACATCTTCATAAAACAAAACCGCAAGCATCAAACTAAAGCTTTTATACATAAGTGATTATTTTAGTGGCTTAAAATATTAATAGGGGGCCAGTACCATGGAATGTGGATGCCTGTTCTAGTCCCAGCAGCTCCACTTCCCATCCAGCTCTGGCCTAGGAAAGCAGTAGAGGATAGCCCAAGTCCTTGGGCCCCTGCATACACGTGGGAGACCTGAAAGAGGCTCCCAGCTACTGGCTTCGAATCAGCACAGCTCTAGCCATTGTGGCCATTTCTCTCTCCTTCTGCTGCTCTGTAACTCTGCCTTTCAAATAAATAAATAAATCTTTTAAAAATATATTTATAGGATAAGTCTTATTCAAATAAAAAACACATGTTATTCAAGAGAACCTTTAATTGAAAACAATCTTTTTAAAGTATTAAACTTCACGAATTTGCGTGTCATCCTTGCGCAGGGGCCATGCTAATCTTCTCTGTATAGTTCGAATTTTAGTATGAGAAATGGTGACTTGATCAGCCCTCACCCTGACTGTTGATGAGCAGCTTAATATGTTATCCCTCTTAGTATTTTTTTTTGTTTGTTCTACTTAATACTTTTGGTTGAATACTGTAATCAATACACAATTCTTCTTAAGTGCTGAAACTTAACTGAAAAGTGATCGCTGTTAAATATAAGAGTGGGAATAAGAGAGGGAAGAGATGTACAATTCGGGACATGCTCAAGCTGACTTGCCTCAAATGGTAGAGTTAGAAACATACCAGGGGATTCCAATTCAATCCATCGAGGTGGCATGTACCAATGCCATCTCACTAGTCCCAGTGAACAATTTCTGTTCACAATTGATCGTAATGATAGGACTAAGAACCAAAGGGATCACATAAACAAGAATAGTGTCTGCAAATACTAGCTGATAGAATAAAAAAGGGAGAGAATGGTCCAACATGGGAAGTGAGATACACAGCAGACCCATAGAATGGCAAATGTCCTAACAGCACTCTGGCCTCAAAATCAGCCCTTAAGGCATGCGGATCCAGCTGAAATGCCCATGAGAGTATTTCAGGCATGGAAAGCCAAGACACTCTGGGGAAAAAAAAAAAAAAAAAAAAAAAAAAAAAACTAAATGAAAAATCTCCACGGGTGAGATCCCAGTGGAAAGAACAGGTCATCAAAGAAGGAGGTACCTTTCTCTGAAGGGAGGAGAGAACTTCCACTTTGACCATGGCCTTGTCTAAAAATGATCATAGTCAGTGAACTCAGGGGGTTTCCATAGCCTTGGCAGCTTATGACAAGAGCCTAGGGTGATTACTGAGGCCATAAACAAGAGTGTCAATTTGTTAAGTCAACAACAGGAGTCACTGTGCACTTACTCCTCATGTAGGATCTTTGTCCTTAGTGTGCTGTACATTGAGATTTAATGCTATAACTGGTACTCAAACAGTATTTTTCACTTTATGTTTCTGTGTGGGAGCAAACTTTTGAAATCTTTACTTAATATATGCTAAACTGATCTTCTGTATATAAAGAGAATCAAAAATGAATCTTGATGTGAAAGGAAGGGGAGAGGGAGTGGGAAAGGGGAGGGTTGCGGGTTGGAGGGACGTTATGGGGGGGAAGCCATTATAATCCATATTCTGTACTTTGGAAATTTATATTCATTAAATAAAAGTTAAAAAAATAAAGTATTAAACTTCTATATAGCTTTTGAGAAATGGTATAATTCAGTTTTACAAGGATTCTATAGTAAATTTCTATGTATCTTTTATACTTCAGCTTATGAGCATTTTACCATAAGCTTTGAGTAATATTTTATATTGAAATGAATTGATTATTATGAAAGTAAATATTTTAATATAAGAATTGGATTTCTGGGGTTGGCACGTGGCAGAGTGGGTTAAGCTTCCACTTACAAAGTTATGGAAATCAGAGCATTGGTTTGAGCCCTGGCTGCTCTGCTTCCAGTCCAGCTTCCTGCCAATGTGATTTGGAAAGCACTGGAAGATGACTCAAATGCTTAGACCCACGTTACCCATGCGGGAGAACAATATTGGAGTTCTAGGCTCCTGGCTTCAGCCTGGCCCAGCCTTAGTGCTTGTGGCCATTTGGGGAAGAAATTAGTGAAATATATATATTCTCTCTCTCTCTCTCTCTCTCTCTACCACTTTCAAATAAAATAATTTTAAAAAAGAATTGCCTTTTCATTGTAAATATGTATTATTTTTCAAGAGTACAATTTATCTTGTAGGCACACTACTTCCATGTTTTACAGAAAAAAACACTGTAATAGTAGTATTTATGCATATCAATATCACAGCTCATGTTCTTATGCTAATCATTTGAATGTTGATTGAGATGCCTGATGGCTCTTTTGTACTTATGAGAACCAGTAGAAAGAAACACCTCATTCACACTGCTTTCAATTTATATAAAAATATGGTATGATTTCAATTTTTTGAAAAACAATAATATGTTTCTAAGAATCTATCAGTTGAACCATGCAAAATTTAAAACATTTTATTATCTTCAATGTATGCTAAATTATTTTTGATAAATTAAAATTCGGCATTTTGATTTATTCCTCCTTTCTGGGAATATACATTATACTTTATTCAAGAGTAAATTAGACTTTTAGAGTTAATTACATTTTTTTAATGCACATAACTTCTATTAGCATATAATAAAAAATACATACATATACAACAAAGAGTAGAACCCTCTGGCCTTTTGAATTTGAGTGACTCAGCTGAATAAGCATGGCTTATTAACCCCAGTACAAATACATATACCTCTTCCAATTAGAAAATCAAACATAATTATCCTGCTGAAAGTAGTGAGCTACCACATCTATTAAATCAAATGCTTGATTATAAATAGGAAAAATGCTAGATTTTTAAATGTTAAATATTCATCTCTAGCTAATTATGTGAAATAAGAATATTGTTAATTTAAATATGTCTAAGCCAGTATGTTTTGATGAGTGTCATATTTCCATTAGGAAAAAAAATTTGCAGAGTATCATTTGATTAACAATCATTTTTATATAATATAAAATACTGATATTTTAAATTTTAATGATGTTTTATAATAAACTGCACATTTTGAAATTTCTGATGGTAGAAAAATACAATAGCTAGAAAAGAAAATTAATATTTAGAATAGTTAGACTATTTTTTTTCTAGAATTATCTATGCTGTCAGTAGGAATAGTGCATATATGTAGTTAGTGGAACCCTGGAGAAAAATGTAAGCATTCAAAACACTATTGAGTGAATTTCATAGGGCTTGAATTATATACTAAGAGTAATGTGCTGTAAAGTTTACTATTTTTTTTAGCAGTGGTAAGCAAAGCAGCAAGGTTTATTGGGATAGGGCATCTGTCAGAGCAGATGCAACAGAATGTGAGAGAGAGTGTGCAGTCACTCCGACTGGGGGAAGCAAGGTTACATGGTTAAATGGAGAGAATGCACCTGGCAGGACAGGTGGGCGGCTCAACAGAAAGCTGAGTGCTGAACATGTGGTATGTTTCAGATTGGGGTTTTTAAGGGGATAGTTACAGTTCCTCCTCCTCCTCCAGGACAAAGTGTTTGCCAAGTGTAAATTAAGAAAATCCCCCCCCCCCCCCAGTGGTTTACGACTCAGTGCTGTTAGAATGGGGAGCCCACTTGGCAGAGGAGCTTCTCCTGGGGTGCCGGCCTTGGAGGAAAGCTGTGAAGGTTTTATTGCTCCATTTTATCAGGCCAGGTAACCCATTTGGTGCTGAGGAGAGAGGATTGTCTTGGGAGCTTTCCTTGAGAGAAGGCCTGAGACCACCTGGAAAGTTATCAGGGTACTGGCAGGACTTTGAAGTGTAAAATACTGAGTTGTTTCCAAGTTGAGCTTCTATAGATGCTATTTTCTTCAGGCCACTTTCATACACACATAGCCTAATTTCTTTCTTCCTACCTAATGTTTCTACCAAACATTCCCCCCTTTAGAGATGATACCCATAATTTTATTGGGATAGAAAGGATAAATTCCATCGTATGTAGTTTCTTCAGAACTGACAAATGGGCATAGAGCAGCTTATGGGTATTTTTCTCTTGCTATCTGCCTCATGGTGTTTGAGGGTGGCCTCGGAAAACTGCTCTGCTCGGTCTAGAGGACTGGTCATCTTGTCTGATGTCTAGGCTGAAAAAGCTGTCTCAGAAGCAGCTGGAGCTGGATGGCTGGTCTTCTTCTGTTAGACACAAAACAAAAAAGGACATTAAAGACAGTAACCTATTGAGAAGTAAAAAGAATGTGGATGCTATATCACCAAGGAAAGGCAATTAACAGAATTTCTATCACCAGATGCGAGGCTACATATTTTAGCCTTGTCTGACCGGGTCCTAGACTTGTCTGGCCTTGTCCAAGATAGTATAAACATGATTTCATACCCATCTTGTTTGACCTTCATTTGGGGGCTCTTACCTGGGCAGCAGTTAGCAGGTGTACGGCTTGCCTGTTGTGTAGGGCTGGGTTTAGCAGTCCTACTGCAGGGGCCCTAGTCATGGAAGCCTTCCAACCAATGAAGGCTCTGTTTGATTTGTTGGTTTGTTTTTTCCAAAGCAGGGAGCTCTGTTTTGGCTCACTGTTGGGAGCATGATTTAGGAACATTGCTATTTCCCTGTATCTAGGAATCTGTAAAATGTTAAGAAAATGTTGGGACTGTCTTAAGGTTGTGGAACTTGGTGCATGGCCTGTATCCTCTCTAGGGTTTGTCTTTTCTCCCCAGGGGTGAGAACAAGAGCAAAATAATTAACTTTCTGGCAGACTAGCCATGATTTTTCCCTGAATGCCTGGTAGCTACATTCTGCTGGGAAGTTGAGAGCGTTAGCTAATGCACAAGACCAGAGTCTCAGGTCAGAGGGAAGGAGGGATAGATTAACAAACCATCTACATTCTGGATTATTTCATATCCCCCTCAGAGATAGATCCTTTAAGTCCTCTGTGAGAGCCTATCCAAATAGGTTCAGGACTATCTAAGCTGTTACTCTCAGCCCTGTCCTATAACTCAGTTAATGGCAGATAGGAATTGATAGGAGGGGCTTTTAAGGCTTAATGATATTCAAATGGGCTTTAAGGCCTGGCCAAGTATGTGTGAGGCCCAGACCTATCCATGGGATATTGGAAGAGACACTATAAGGGAGGTTGAACCTCCTTATGGAAGGTACCATGTTGAGTCTCATTATGTGGCAGGACTAGGAGGAAAGCTGGTCTGAACAGAAGGCTAGCACAGAATAGGCAGTGTCTCTAAATAGAAATTTATGTTTTCATTGACTCTAGACCATACCCTCAATAACAATGGTTAGAGTTGGAAGCTGGGCGGAGCTAAGGGATTCTTAGCTTGGGGCCATCAATGTCCACAGTTCTGAACCAGGAGTCCTTTGACTCCCAGGGCAGTTCCATTTCCAGTGGCTTTGTTCTTAGTGTAGTTGACTGAAGCTGGTTTCTGACAGCTGCTTGCCTAATGCCCTGGCTCTTCATATCAAAACAGGCT